CCTTAATACCAAATATTCCTTAAGTTGTAAAATGTTATAAAGTCAAACATGGTTTCACAGACCTGTGATCCCAGTTATGCAGGTGGTGGAGGCAAGACAATCCCAAGTTCAAGGCCAGCCTGGGCAACTTAGCAAAACTCTGTCCAAAATTTTTTTTAACGTAAAAAGGGCTGGTTATGGCTTGTATCTAGATGTCCGCACAAAGCCTCATCTAGTCATAGATGAGGCTTTTCAGCGGTGACTGGATCTAGGGTGTATAATGCTGGGATTAAGGGGGTGATGCTTGGATTAAGGGTGCTGCACCCTGGGTGTGGGTGGCACCAATAAATAGGCTTACAGTCTAAACAGAATATAAAGGTAGCTTCTTTTGCTTCATTGCTGCTGCTGCTTCTGTTGCTGTTCCTGGTGCTGCTTTGCTACTTTGCTGCTTTGCTGCCTTCTGCCTGCCCGGCCACACCATGAACTGTTTCTCTTCTATGAACTGTTTCTTCCTCTGCCATTCCACCCTGTCTTGGAGCCAATCAAATATGGACTGAAACCTCTGCAAACCATGAGCTAAATAAACCTTTCCTCCTTTAACTTGTGGATCTTGGGTATTTTGTCTCAGCAGTAAGAAAAATAACTAAGACAGTCACTCAGTGGTAGAGTGCTTGCCAAACATGCATGAGGCCCTAGGTTCAATCCCCATTAAGCCAAAAAACAAAGAATATCAATGCTCTTCTGATTTCTACCCAAAACAAATCAGTACTTAGTCCAAAAGAAAGATTAGTTGCAAATCCTTTAAGTCTACTTCCAAGTAAAATAAGTAAAAGTGGGTATAAGTCTAAAAATTAATTTGATTTCAAAAATAATGGCACTACTATATAAGCAATCCTTTTTCTTTTAGATCATTAAGTTTCACCTTAAAAGTAAGCACTATCTTGGGGGCGGGAGTGGGTGGGAAGGCAAAGAATGTTTTCTAGCTACACATTGTTGCAGCAGTTTCTGCTGTTTTTCTATACAGTTTTCACCAATGAGAATTACAATCTGAGAACTGCTAAAAAAAAAAAAAAAGTAAGCACTATCTAAATGAACACAGTGTATCATTCCCAATGTTTCACTTACCCAACTAATTTTTTAGTATTACTATGTGTAAGCCACTTTATTAAATTAAAAGTTGAGGCTGTAATGATAAGCAAGACAGATAAGGTATCTGCTCTGTGAGAGTTTATAATTTAGCAAAGTAAACAGACCATAAAAAGAGGATAAACAAATTACTAAATCCTAATAAGCATAATTAGAGAAATATAATGTTGTAATAAAGAATAAGGGACAGCACATACTTAAGAAAGCACAGTCACTAAAGAGCTCTTTAAAGATACAAATTTGAAGCTAAGGTCAAAAGGGCCAGAAAGAGGCGACCATACAAAGTCTGAGCGTATCTGAGAGACGATGTGAAGACCAGCCTTCTAAGCTCTAATAACCATGGCTCAGAATTAGCTTCACCTGAAGGTTTGCAATGTTAATAATGACAAAATACTTAGAAACAACCTAAATATAAGAAATATAGTACTATTTAAAGAAAGCACAGAACATGCATTATACGGGATATCAAACAACCATTAAAATGAATGAGGCAAAAAAAAAAAAAAAAAGAAAGAATGAGGCATCTGTGTAGTAACAGATGTGGAATTGATCTCCTAAAAAGCAAACCACAGGACATGTTTTTTTGTGTTTATATACACACATGCACACACGTATGCTCACATACACACACAATGTTTGATATACATGTTTATCTACTCTTATGCATAAACTATCTCTGAAAAAGTATACAATACAGTGGAAACAGTAGTTACCTGTAGGTAGAAAAACAGGTATAAGAAATTTCATACTATATATATATTACCCACTAAATAAAGACTTTAATACACTGATTTTAAAAATTATATTAAAATATTTAGAACTGCTCATCTATGTATTAAATATAAGGTAACTATTACTTTAATCACAGAAATTTTCTCTTCTTTTACTTGGCAAACAAATTATCCCTTTAATATTAACAAAAAATCCGAACAGAATGATAATATCACATCAAGCAACAAAATCTCTAATTTGTGTTATAAAAACAAGTATATCTAAAAAACCATGACATGTGTATGGTAAAAATTCAATAACTATTTATTAAATGTATACTTTGCTACTGATTTTAGTGAGTTTGATTTTGTCATACATTTTTTCAGACTATCATACCAAAACAATGCAAATATACCTTTTCATAAATTACGTGTTTCTTTTAAACTGACACTATCTCATTTACATTTCCAAGACTCAACATTATTTCCTAGGCATCTAGGTGCAGGTAGTAAGGGTGCTGAAAATATAGGACTCATGCCTTCAAGAAGTTTACAGTTTTGAAAGATAAACCTTAAAAACACTAATCAGCAAAAGGGCATTATAAGTCTTACAGATAGACTGAATAATTCAAACTAAAATTGCTGCAGGATTTCAAGTAAGAAGAAAAAGAAGAATTACTAAGGATCTATTGAGTCCAAAAAATGCTTTAAAAAATACAGTACCTCATTTACATGTAAATTGTAATATCTGATGAAGACAGGCTTCCTGAGTATGTGGATGCTCAGCTGAGCTTTGAAGAAATTACTGATAATTAAATATAAATCATTTTTAGTTATTCAGGATCCCAAAGAGAATTTACTGAAGTGATCTCAATCTGTCTTTATCAATTACCTCTTATAAAAAGTATCTCAGGCATGAGCCTCTTAACAGATGTCATAAAAATATTAAAGAAGTTTAATCTCCTTTTCAAAAAGAAATATAAAATTTTAGTACTTTCTTCCTGCATTCTAATATATCATCTTGTGATGCTCTTGGGTATGTACATCTCACCTTGCATAATACTTAACTATGAATACTGAAACTCACAAATCATGCAAAAATATTTCTACCCAACTGTTTAACCTCTTCACACATCAAACTTATTTTTTAACATAGTTGTTAAAAGGTAGCAGATACGCATTTGAATTTCAATTTATTTCTCTCCACACATGGCCTTCTCTCAGAATAGATGCTAATGTGCAATTATCACTACAGAGAGACAAAGGCTAGTTTAGTCATGACCTCATAAAAGGCCCTACAACTTTATGGAAAATAGTAATCTTTGAGGAACATTAGTATTATTTTTACATACCATACTTATTAGTTAATACCCAATACTAATTATGTTTAGTAAACTGTCAATTTATTTTAAATGATTTGTTTCTCATTACTATAATTTGATTATAGTCTATTCTCATTTTCCTTGCCTAGTCTTATTTTATTACAGAAGCATTTTAGAGAATACTTAAAACTAAATTTTCAAATACATTATGCTTTAACCTCCATGTAACTTCTTTTTTAAATGAATATAAAAATAATTCTGAAAACATATAGGTCATTATGGGGTAAAACCCTTTCCAAGACTATGTTAGGGAGAAATGCAAATAATACTTAAATCTGAATTTCATTTTTATTTATGTAATGTCATATATTATATGAATGTTTAAGGAATGTTTTTGTTTGCTTATGTTATGCAAATAAAAATGCACAAACATGTATTTGCACAGGTTTACATACAGATGGAACATATACACATGTACCTACCAGAAAAACCCTTTAACAACATTTTCCTAATAAAATACACAGTTTATGTTGAGTAATTCTTAATTCACTGCTCAAAAGCTTACTTAAATTTCTGTGTATTAAAATAGACACAGAATTACAATGAACTAGCCAATAAATACTATGATTAAGTATACTATCAAGAAATAAAAAACATTTTACATTTAAATATGTAGATCAAAGAAACAACTACATTTTGAGCATCATCTTGACAACACTGGACTTTAGCAATTATACTAAAAAATATAAATTCATATATTTAAATATAAAACTGTAAGTCATCAAAAGGTTGGCATTGTTAATATCCATAATAAACTACTTAAATCACTTAGCTGTTTTCATATTCCAAGCCTATTAATAATCACATTCCCAATTGGCTTTGAAGATGTAATTCTTCATTTCAGTTCGTATCTCAGGAATATATTTGCCATCTTGGTCCTTTAATGTTTTGTGAAAAGTTATACCTTTTTCTGGGGTATATGGCCATTTGGAGTAAGTTTGTAACCATAAACTATATGTTTTCATTAAAATATGAAAAACGTATGTTTACAAGTGCGGGAGAGAATGCTGAATTTAACAACCTGTTTTTAAAGTGTTAGCTGGGTAGAACCCGGTGTGTTTTCTGCTCGGAGAGCAGCCGTACACTTCCATTGCGTTTCTGGAGAGTACTGGAGAAGCGCACTTGATGACACGAGAAAGACCGGGCCCACCTTTGACATAAAAACTGCGCGTGTTCACCGGCCAGTGAATAACTCGTTTCCGGCAAAAAGAAAAAAGTTGAGCTGAGAAAGCATAACCGGTCACACACCTCCTGCACCGTCTCGGCGCTGTGGTCCCTGAGAAAGCAAAGGGCACCGCAGGTTTGGGAGCAGGGCACAGGAGCCGTGGGCGCTCGCGGGGCGAGCAGCGACGCCCGGTCTGGACAGCTCCCGGTGCTGAAGTTGCACCGCCTCGGCCCACCCCGCCGGCCGCCCGCATGCCTCCGCCTGGGCAGCGGGGCCGGGCCTCGCCCGGGTCGGGACTTCCCGAGCGGGGCTGCCGGGCTGCGGCCCCGCGGGTCCCGTGGGTGAGGGCGGGGCCGGGCCTCGTCGGGAGGAAGCGGTGCGAGGGCGCGGCGGCGGGGTGGGGAAGATGGCGGCGCCCGCGGCCCCCGGACCCGGACCCCGACCCGGACCCCGACCCGGACCCCGACCCGGCCCGCCCCGCAGGCCGCCCGCCGCCGGCCGGCACCTGTGCGCGCCATATTGGATCCCTCGCCGGCCCGGCCTCGCGGGCGGGAAGGGCTGGGAGCCGCGCGTCCCCGAAGCCACCCCGCCCGCGAGGCCGCCCCGAGCCGCCCTTACTTGAGCACCGACTGCTCCTTCTCCTCCTCCTTCCTCTGCCGGTCCATGACAGCCAGGATGATCTTGCGCTCCTCCTCCGTGAGGTGGCTGAGGTCCGGCATCGCGGGCGGCAGCGGCGCGGCGGCGGGAGCGGAGCGGCCCCGCGGCCCGGCCGGAGCCGACATGTCTGGGGCAGCCGCGCGCCCCGGGGAGGGAGACTCATGCGCTGGCCCGGCCTGGCCCGGAGCAGCGCGG